GTGCCCTGGGAGTGCAGGTGAGTGGCACGGTTGCAGCTCCACAACATAAATCTCTCCATAGTTTCCACTAAACATTCCCTTGGGGATTTTCGTCTCCAGACAGCCGAGATGCGTTTCCCTGCGGCACTGCCCATGGTACTATCCCGAATTCCTTATGGCTCTCCCTTTAACGGTGCAGGGGATCTATCGGATAAGCGGATCCAAGGCCCGGGTGGAAAAGCTGTGCCAGGCCTTCGAGAACGGCAGGAACCTGGTGGACCTCTCCGAGCACTCGCCCCATGATATCACCGGCGTCCTGAAGCATTTCCTGAAGGAAGTAGGTACCAAATCTCCGTTGGGAGGGCAGGTCTCCATTTCTGATGCAATTTAAAAAAGAGGCTACTCCCATTTTTCTTGGTTAAGCACCAAGTTGCTGATCATATCACGTGTGTTTTGAGAGGCCTTTAGTTCTGCCAGGTCTTTTCTCCTCGTTACTGGCCTCGACATGTTCAATAATCCTATGCGTGACATGAAAACAATAGCTAAGAGTTGTTCGATTCCCCAGAACTCCTTGCTTATAGTTTTAGTGGGATAATGAGACTGGATGTCTAACCCATAACAGGTCTTATACGTAGTTGGAGCCTTATATATTTTTGAGTATTTTTTTTTTAGATAAATAGCCATTCTGGCAGCTCTCAGGATTTCTTATAGAGTCCGGGAACCTTTGTGACATGGGTGGGAGTTAAAGCATGTGAGGCTAAAGGATAATGTGTTTCACAAAAGAAAAAAAAAAATGAAGCGATTTTCCTCATTCTCAGACCAACAGGATTTTTGTTCCATTCTGCAGCTTTCAGGGCCTGTGTTGCTCTACCAGCTCTATGACGATCTCATTGCTCTTGCCAAAGATTTGCAAAAACCCAGCGAAGAAAAGAGGGATTCCGCAGGCTTCCCTTCGGATCCCATCCAGGGCATGAAGGACTTGCTGAGCAAATTACCTGGAAGCAACTACAACACCCTGCGGCACCTTATTGCACACCTGTACAGGTGAGGAGCGGGTGCCTGGGTTTAACTGGGGAGAGGCCGGATCTAGAAGCTAAAAATCCCACTATAGAAAGGGCTATTCGCAGCAGGGAGAAAATATTAATGACCAGTAAGGACTAGAAGCCTTTCTGACGACACCTTGTTGATAATGTGCAGAGCAAGAGGTGAAGGAGGAGCGGGAAGAATGAATCATGGAATCATTAAGGTCGGAAGGGACCTTTGGAGATGATCTAGTCCAACCGCCTTTCCCTTCCCCAGGGTGGCAGAGAAATATGAAGAGAACAAGATGTCCCCAAACAACCTGGGCATCATATTTGGGCCAACTCTGATCCGGCCGTGCTCGGGGAGCGACGTCTCGATGTCGTGTCTCGTCGACTCCGGCTATCAAGCCCAGACTGTGGAGTTCCTCATCCAGAACTATGAAAGGGTGTTTGGGATGGATGACCTGCCTTCGTCCTTGTCCCTCGGATGTGAAAATCCTTCGCATGAAGCGGCGATGGAGAAGGATGAAGGGCATCAGAACCCAGACAAACTCCAGAATGTGACTCTAGAGGTAGAGCCCCCAGACACCGAGCTGGGCTTGTTGACCCTGCTGTAGAGGCAGGAAAGTGAGATTTGAGACACACAGCGATTACCTGTGATTAGTTTTATACTTTCAGAGCCATTTTATATAATTCTATAGCATAACCCAGTTCTACGAAAGGTGTCGTAACTCTTTGGAAAGAAGAGTTGCTTTTAACGTGACTCTCGTTTGTAATTAATAAAACCAACTCCTGGAGCCCATTCACTTGTCTATAACAGCATGTGGGTTGCAGTGGGAGTGAGCAGTATCTTCATAGCAAATGAAGGTCCTGTATAAAAACCATTCATGGCTTTTTCCAACAGAATTTCTCCTCCAAGCATGATTTAAACGTGGACTCTGTGTCTGATAACTCGTCTTTCAGGGAGGCCATCAATGAGCTGACGCTGGAAAGAGCCCACAGTCCATCAAACACAGATGCTCCAGGTAAAAGCAGTGATTGTGGTGCTGGAATAGGTTGTCTTGCTTTGGTTTTGCTGGTTTGCACACCTCTTGTCTCTGCTTCACACCTCTTTTGCCTAAAAATGCAAGCACGTTTTCCACTGCGTTCCATAAGGTTATTTTCCCCTTATCCTGCCTCAGCTGTCAGGCCCAGTCACATGCAAACTGCCCTTGCTTTAATGTATTATGAAAACATTAAGACTATAAGCCTAATTCATGTCATCTTTTCAAATGCAAATTTGAAAAATGCAAATCGCAAATCTTTCCTTTGCAATTGCGCCCAATTAATAAAGTTGTTAGAGGGAGGATAAATAAAAAACTTTTCCTAATAGAAATTAGGGAAAAAAAAAAACAGAACTGTACTTACTGCTGTCCTAGTAGCCATAGTCTAAGATAACGCTTGGATTTTTTGTTCAGAGATGAATAGAAGTTTTGACGCTGAGCTGGAGAACCCGGAGGACCCTGTGCAGGAAAGGGCAGATGGTGACTTGGACACGGTGGTAGCGACGCAGCCCAGAGGCCATTTCAGCCGGCAGCCGGTAAAATACACTCGAGCACAGGCCAAAATGAGGCCAGTCATTCCCAAGTCTTCCAGTTTGCCGTTGAGAACTACCGCTTTATCCAGCACGGCACTGGAGTTTGGGGCAGAAGGCAGCCCTAAGGACAGCGGCTCCGTAGGGAAGGATAACCTGGAAGAGAGCAGGAACAGCTCCCCGGACACCAGCACCCTCAAGGGCCGCCCAGGTGGGAAACAGCAACTCAGGCATTTTGAGATGACGCAGGAAACGGCCAGGATCGTCTCCAAGTTTAAGGACGATGACGCTTCGACATCCCCCGAGGTGTCTCCGGAGGGCACAGGGTCTGCTGAGAACACAGCAAACCTCAACTTGGAGGTCCCACCATGGAAAATCCCAGAGGAGAAGAGATAGGAGCAGTGGAGAGGGAGGAAGGACAGATGTCCCACCCCGTGCTTCCTGCTGAGGAAGAGCCGTGGGATGAGGAGAACATCTTGGCATGAGCGTTTACAACACAAAGGAAGTAAAAAAAATTAAAAAGTGGCACCAGGTGGTTATCTGAAAGGGGGGTTCAAGGTGGTTCCATGAAGGAAACAGATTATCTGGCTAAAAAGGTGTAGGCAGGAAGGGGGTGACTGAAATGTAGGGCACTGGAAAGAAAACATGCCCAAATGGCCATTCTATGGCAGCTACTACGAACACTTATTTTGTAGCTTTCATTTCATGGCATTTTTTTCATGTTCAGGTACTCTAGGTCCTTGTACTTGTATTGCTGGACTTTCAACTTTCTAGTTAACGCAAAGTCATTTTATACCACACAAACTGCACCCCCTTGCTCCAGAACATTAATGCTCCTTCTCTTGAAGCATTCCGAGCTTCCTTGGTGCCAAGCTCCTGCTGTCATCAGGACGGCCTTCCCTTGAACCTGATCCCATGGGGACATTCTGCTTGGCCACCTCCATGAAACCCTCGTTTTTGCAGATTTTCCGCGGATGCAATGACAATATGAGCACCACGAATGTGTCCTGCAGTGCCATCTTGTGATGCCTGTGAAACAAGAAATTCAAGTATCCACTTTGCTTTTTTCAATTCCTTTTTTTCTTTTTTCCATCACATCACGTTTTAGTTCCATCTCTAAACCAAGCTGTAAAAGAAATACTAAGGATTTATTCATAGTATTTGTTCATTTTAGGCTAAAGAGATAGGATGATTGCATCTCTGGAAAAAATGTATATTTGTTAATACATTGCTTTGTATTTTTAAATCCTAAATTATCTTTCATGTAGAGCTTCAGTAAATTACTGGGTGTTTTCCAAGCTGTTTGCTAAATGTGCATAGTGAAACCTTAAGTAAACACTTACCAGATTATTGTGAAAATGCCAAGTGCACTCACGTCTTTATGAAATGATGGTAACGTTTGCCCAGGAACGAGCGCAGTTAAAACAAGATGTGTGTTAAAATCCTCCTTTCCTTTTCTTGCCGCACACTTAAATAGTTAATTAGACTCATTCCATGTAGGATAAACACTGCAGGCTTGTACAGACTATACAGCTTTTGCCATCCACCTCTGCCCTTGGCTTTTCCTTCAAGGAATGCAATACCTACAAAATGCTATTAGAGAAAACACGCTCACCTTTCTCCAGTTACTGCTCAGGACTTGCTGCTTTCTGCAAAGCTGTGCATGGCAAGGGGTAGCTCCCCATCCTAGGTAAATCCTGGGAAGTGCTGACCAGGAATCCCCTCCTCCTGCTTTTCCTAATTCCCACTTCAAAGCAGCAGCAGCAGAGCCCTTGTGTGTAGCTTATCTGCTGCTAATGCTTCCTGCAGCTGGCTGCTTTCAGGGCAGCAATTTGGGTAGGTGACTGTCTGACCCTCTGGCTCGGAGCTGCATCCCATAGGATCAGGGTATCCTCCATGGAATTGCAACACAGAACCATAGTAATCTTATCAAGAAGTCTTTTATCAGTGAAACAACCAAGAAACTCACTTCTTGTTTCAAGCTGCTTTTCATCACCCAGCGTGAATTCAGTGTCATCAACAGCCAGTCAAAGTGTTTCCAGGCTTCGGAGAGACTCAATTCCTCCCATCGGGAAACAATTCCAAGGCCTCAGGCCCTCGCTAGGAAGGATCCCAGCTCCACAAGGAGAGCTCCTTGTATGCTCTGAAATGCCAGCTGGGCTGCATAAACCCAGCACCTGTTAAATTTCAGACCCAGATTGCTTGGTATCTGATGCCTGAATGTTTAATTGGGAGCAGGATGGATTAGAGGGGTTCTTGGAGAAATTCATCAAGCCTGAAAGGTCCTTGTTCCTCTGTCTTTTTAGAAAGTTGGTGTGAGGTGTGGAAAATCCAGCGTTTTCCAGCTGGGGAATTCCCTTTGCAGCAAACTGGAGCAGAAAGCACTGCTAGGGATATTTGCCTTGTAGGCTGGAATGCTGTGAGAAGGCAAATGGGAGCCTCTTGGAGTTTGTCCTGGTTAAATAAGCTTTCCCAGACACAGACTCTTCCCAGGAGCTTTTATGGTAGGTAGAGAGCTGGTTTCTATTCATTCTTCTAAGCTGTTTTGTTGCCTCGTGCTGTAGCGGGTAGTTTTGCAGCAAAAGGGGCTGCCAACGTCTGGCTTTCAACCAGCAAATGGGAAGATTCCTGTCTCTGCTCCGTATGTTAAAGGGAACACGTTTGGAATACTGCAGGATAGGAGTTAGGTCACCCTTGTTGTGTCCTTGGTTTATTTGTTTTTGAACGATGTCTCCCAGCACTCAATTAGCAGAGCAGATGATGCAGCAAAAAGCAAGTTCCTCTGAACTCTTGCTGGGAGCTCAGAACACTGGAGACAAGTGATTTCTATTTTCTGTTTGCGTTTCTTCCCCTTTTTACCCTTTTTTTTGTCTGCGACTGCACGTAGCAGTGGTGCCTATAGCAACGTGAGAGATGGAACAGAGTGTAAGCCACATATATGAACATGAAATTAGCTAGAAATTGCTCATCTTCAATTCGGTGAATGCTTAGGGGGGTTTTGCTGAAGATGCTGAATAACGATGGGACAGCGTGTAACCACATATATGAACGTGAAATTAGCTAGAAATTGCTCATCTTGAATTTGGTGAATGCCTGGGGGGGTTTTGCTGAAGATGCTGAATAACAATGTGCTTCTTTCATTTGGGCCTTATATGTATATAAACATATATATATATATAAAGCCTCACTATTGCTCTTAAGGCAAGGCTCAGTAACACAATTCTGTTTATCAGCAAGGCAGTTATAGACCCAATAAAACTTCCACCTTACTGGGGAAAAAAAAAATGCGTTGCCTTCCCTGGGAATTTTGCTCCACCAAGATTGTCCCAACAGCAAGTCTGTGCAGGAAGCTGCTTTTCTGTGGAGAGATGGATATTGCTTAGGGATAAGAGCTCTCTGTCGGTCCCCAATGCTCTTTACTTTATTCCAGATAAATCTGCAGTTGTGCTGCGTGTGCTTGTTCTTTGGCTGGAGGCTTTTCTGCCTTGGTTTTGTTTTTCCTTCCCCGATTTAAGCAGAAAGGCATGTTAAATGCTTTTTATGACTCCCCAGCCATAAGCTGCAGGCATCTGACATCAAACCAAACGGAGCCACGGGGGGAAGTGGGTTTTCAGCAATAATTCCTATAAAAGCAAAGGCAGGAGCATGCGGAGCTGGAGTCCCTGTAAAGTTCCCTTGGTTTCCAAGCGCGTGCCAGCAAAGCGGGGAGACTTCATGGTGCTGGGAGCTGGCCAAGAGCAGAGGGTTCAGAGCGAAGCAGGGTGCAGCCTCCTTGCGAACGGCCGCGGAGTTTGGGGCTGCGGCTCGCGGGGCATCTCCATCCCCTTTTGTTTTTACTGACAACAGCGCGGAGCGCCGCAGGAAAGGACCTTGGAGCGGCGCCGAGGCCGAGTCCTGCTCCGTAAACAGAGCATCCCGACTTGATTTTAACCTCGCTGTGGCTCCTAGTAACGTGTGGCCATTCAGGCCGGGCTCTTCTTCCTCTGAAGTGCTGGTTCTGCCTCCAGCGTCGCCTCTCTGCGTGCAGGATAATCTCCTTCTTCCTGTGTGAATTAGGAGCAGCAGCAGAGGGGCCCCAGGACCATCCCGACTCCAAACAAAACAGCGCTGCCAACAGCCCTCTCTTCCCTCCCTACCCTGTTTTCTTTCCACCGCCGCAGAACAAATGTTTTCATCTTGGAGAGTGCTCGAGTATCCAGGAACTGTGCAGAAGGAAGGCAGCACTGCAGATGTCAAAGCCCATTCCCAACACAGTTACCTGGGAGAAGGTAAGAGCATTTTGCCTGGAGGCATTGCAGAAAATATCAGGGCTGTTCTTTTTTCCAGCTGTTTCTCCTGTTTATTTTTTCCTAACAAGACAAACGTGACACATTCCAGCTTTGTGTTTTGTTTCAGTGCTTTAAGGTGTTTTCGGCAGCATGGAAATGCCTCGCCAGGGCAAACCTCAAGGGAAAGATGAAAGGAGGAATTTTGCAGGTTCTTTGCAATTTGTGCTGGAGGAATTGCTTGCAACTGGTTGCTAACTTGTTGGAATCGAAGAAAATCCCTGTTGTAGGGCGGGCTGCAAGGAGCACCGAGCTCTTCCATACCTCCTTGTTGCAAACTGTTCCTCAATGCTGGAGGTTTGCAAATAACAGCTCTGCTCCACCTTAGAATTGGCTGCATTTCAGCAGCAGTGGGTGTTAGGAAACTCCTGTGTTTTTAAGGGTGGTATATATGCTGTTTGCCACCTAAAGATTTGGCTATTAGCTGGAATTGTCCCTTTTTTAGACTCCAGGAGTGTTTCCCGTTCAGGATTGGGAATCTCTGAGCCAGCTGCGACTTGGGAAGTCTTAATGTGAGCAAGTGTTTCCCTGCAGTGGTGGCTGGGAGGAGGGGGCTCC